CAGCAATATCATTGCTATTTTCGGATCATCTAATTACAAGGGAGAGAGCTTGTATTTATAGAGAGTAAACCTAACCCTAAACCAACTTGGACGCGCGGCCCAAAAAAAGAAAAAACAATCCATACGGTCCAAATTGTACGGAACTGTATGGAAAAGTTGCTCGTCAAAAACGGACCAAAAGTTGGATCGACGAATAGAGCTTGGTTATACAGTCCCTAACACCTTACATTACTAAAATTATACTACGCGATTAATTCTGGTTTTACTAAAATAATACGCGTAGTATCATTTTATTTGGTAATGTTTGTGTTATTATAATCAGGGCCGGCCCCTGGGGTTGTGCAAGCGGTGCGGCCGCACAGGGCCCAAATATACGGAGGGCCCAATGGTTCTAGTGTTGTTGTATGCCAAATAAAAAATCCTGCAGCATTCGAGAATCGAACTCAGGCCACTTAAGGAGAAGTGCTACAAAGTTACCAACTTACCAACTTAGCTTGTTGGAAAACATCGGTCGTTTTTAGTACAAATACCTTTAATGAAACTAATAAAAGTTATTGGGTCACTATACGTATATACTTGATTATTGGTAAGCTAGCTATACTATACTAATTTATACTTAATTTGTAAGTTATTTCCTTATAGTTAGCTATATCAATTTTTATTTATTTGGATTTCTTTTATTGTGATACTCCGTATTTTTTATAGCAATCAAAATAAGTTTCTTTTATTACATTTTATACTTACTTTTTTTATTTTTAAGTTTATTATTTTCACTACATGTGTTATGTATAACACAAATTGAGTTGTAAAATTGATGTTCATTCACTTAATTGGGATATCAATTCTTAATTAAATTTTAACTCGAATTTTGAAAATTTATAGAAATTTTAACATAATTTCTGAATATGTAAATTATAATTACTCTGTTATAAAATTGAATTAATTATTAATAGAGAGGATATAACTTTAGCGTGGAGATGGAGGTAGTTTTTTTAAATATAATTTAGGGCCTTTTATTTAATTTTGCACAGGGCCTTCGATATTTCGGGACCGGCCCTGATTATAATTCATTCTTATCTTAATCTCATTTTATTAATTCAATGTCTACTACATCAATTTTCTTAATAATCGCAATATCTCATCATATCCCAAATTTAATGGGACGTGGCCGGACTCAATTTTACTTGTTTATAAGCAACCATTTTAAAAACGTCAAAAATTATTGATGTAAACCAGAGGAGGTACAAAAGTGTAAGATGTTTTTGTAGAATTGCTCATTAAGAGATGAAAAAAAGTATGCGTAACCCATTTGTGCTCTTACTTGTGTGGTTTACAAAAGATAATTCATTAAAATGGGGCAATTGGTTTAATATTTGTGCTTTTGTGAACCAGACCAACCTTCCTCTTAAATGGGAGTATCCAAAATGGGGTAGACCAAAGCATTGCTCTTAATAGATTGAATGGAAAAAAATAACTTCGTAATAAGATTGAGAGACCATTTGGCAACACTGTTTTTCGGCTTATCAGCCAGTTTTTCACCAAACACGTAACTTTTGCTTTCACGTGCTGAATTGTGTAATAAGCAGAAAAAGTAAGGTTGAAGTTACTTTTCGGACTGTATTGGTTGAAGTTACTGTAGATGATCACTTCAGCTATTTTTATATATAATTTTTTCTTTACTTTATTAATAAAATATATTTTAAAAATAATTTTTTCTTAAATAGGCAGAATCAGTCAATGCAGTCAATTCAGCCAGAACTTTATAAATTTCAGCAAAATCAGCCGATTTTGATGCTACTAAACTGGCTGTGAATGAAAGAAGAAAAAAGCTAAAGATACCCCAAAATGGAGTACCCCATTTGCAAAAATTTAAAGGAGCCCCATATGACTTCCTTATGGAGTCATATGGGGTATTGTGGCACTATCAACACCATTCATTTATTTAGTGGAGGACCCCACAAAATAATTGAATGGTGATTGTGGTGCCACAATACCCCATATCATATGGTGTTGCATAAATCTACTCCAATTGGGTGGTCACAAATGAGGCCACCCAATTGAGGCACCACTTAAATGGGGCACCCAATAGGGTGGGGAAAATGCTAGGGGTACACAAGTTGTACACAACTTGTACACACAATGTCAGTCACAGACAATTGGTACGGAGTTGTCTGTGACCACAGACAAGAGTTGTCTGTGTACACAGACAAATTTTGTCTATTTCCACAGACACTTACTTTTTTGTAAAAAGTACTTGTCAGTGTCAGGCGGCTCTCAGTGTACTTTTTACAAAAAAGTAAATGTCTGTGGAAACAGACAAAATTTGTCTGTGTACACAGACAACTCCTGTCTGTGGACACAGACAACTCCATACCAATTGTCTGTGACCGACATTGTGTGTACAAGTTGTGTACAACTTGTGTACCCCTAACATTTTTCATAGGGTGGAGGACAAATGGGGTACCCCATTCGCAAACAATGAGTGCGAATGATTGTTGAATGAATGTCAGAATCCTGGTTCGAGCTTTGTATGTGTGAAGGGGATTAGAGAAAACCGTGTGACTTGTGTGAATGCGGCTCCCCATTTTGACTAAACACCGGCAGGCAGAGAGACACATTGACATTGACCATTGTGCAATTATTATTAAGAAATCAATTTGTTCTTAAAAAAAATTACTACCTCTGTCCCTGAATTTACTTCCAAAATAAAGTGGCACACAGATTAAGTAAGTGAGAATTGCGTAGTGGAGAGTTGTGCAAGAAAGAGAGAAATGTTGTGAATCACAAATTCTTTGCCAAAAAGGGAAAGTAAAGTTTATTTTGGAACGAACTAAAAGGGAAAATTGGAAGTATGTTCAGGAACAGAGGGAGTACTACATAATTTGTCCTTTCAAGTACTCCATATATATGAGTAATTTCTTTTCCGAAAATATTACTCAAGTTGACTTGTACATAAAATAATAATGTAAAATGCATGATTGAAATTTATATTAGGAAAGTTCACGAAATAAGACTAAACACGTTTTGATATTTTAAAATAAGATTGTTATATTCTTCTTCTCGAAATAGGAGTAAAATGGTACTCCCTCCGTCCCGCTATGATTGTCCTATTTTACCTTTTCGGTCTGTCTCACTAAGATTGTCTCATAGCTTATTTGGTAAAGTTTGTGTGGTTCTAAATCATTCCTACTTTATTCTTACTTTATCAATTCAATATCAACTACATAAAACCCACTTTTATTAATAACCGTGCTACTTTCACTTGTTCCAAACTTAGGAGAACGGAGGTAGTAGTATTTACAGGTTATAGTCATTGCTATCAAATCATTGCAGTACCATGTATTAAAAACGACAGTATTTACTATCATTAATGACAGTATTTTTGAAATATGGAAATATTTTTCAATCATGATAGTAATGACTCCTAGAAATTTATTTTCTAACATTTTCCCAGAATACTCCTATTAATATTTGGTTTTCCAAGAATATCAATATTCATTAAAAAATCAAAATTACTCATTGGAACGCAAAAATAGAATCTCCCTAATATTTTCGATGTATATATATAGATAAGAAACTTGAAATAGATAGTAACATAGAACATGTCCTTATATGCTGCTTTGTTATAAGGACATTAGTATATTTGTATGCATTTCTTTTAGGGCAGGTTAGATGATGCATCTTTTATGTAATTTCTCCGCGCACCCCAAAACTTACTAAGCGCACCATCTTTTCCTCTTTGTTGGACCGTTTTGTCCACTTTCAATTTTGAATTCAGTTTCGTGGCTTACCAAAGTATGCAGCGCACCAACTGACCAAAGTGCCAAACTCGTATTTCTTTTAATCTTTTTTTGAAAATTATTGCTTTTTAAATTAAAAAAAAAAGTTTTTATACTTCGCATTTCCTTGAATTTTGTTATAACTTTATTTTTAAAAACTGATTATCTTTAAAATGTACTCAAAATCTTAATATCATCGAACAATTATTATGTAAATATTTGTAACACATATAAAGCTTTTATAATTTTTTTTACAATTTTCTTTTTACATGAGTGATGAATATGGGGCGGTTCCCAGTGGAATTTAGGAGGCTCTGTCCGGTCGTCGCGATTTGGGGCGGTTCCCAGTGGAATTTTTTGATGATTTTTTTAGCATCTTATTCATCAAGTCTAGTTTACTCATACCAAATTTCATCTAAAACTTCAATTGGGAACACATTCAAATTAATTCTTTATGATAACTGCTCATTTAAGTGCACAGTTATCTTCAACAATTAATTTGAATACGTTCCCGATTGAATTTTTTGCTAAAAATTTTAGATTGTCTCATATCAAATTTGATAAAAAAAATTGTGGTTCTAAATCACTCTTTGTTTATTCTTACTTTATCAATTCAATATCAAACACATAGTTAAATCTATTTTTCTTATTAAACGTGTCACTTTCTCATGTCCCAATGCTAGCTGGGTGGAGGTAGTAAAAAGAATGATATGGTAAAAAAAGAATATGTATATATATATATATAGATGATTACAAAAGGAATGAAGAATGATTTTTCTAAATTCTATAAATACAATATATGTGCCATATGAAATATCATAAAAACTATTTAATTCAATATATTTGTTTCAAAACTGGTGAATAAATGAAAGTATGTAGTGCGTAGTATAACATTTTATAACAAATAATTGTTCGACACATTTAAAAAAAATGATTTTGGCACTTCAATCTAATAATTTAGTCATCATTACGGAGTATTAAAAATGGTTAATGGGATTTGTCTATAATCCTAAGGACTAATTATACGGTTCAAAACTTCAAATAGAAACTTTTGTTAAAAAACTAAGGGGCATTATGGTCTAAATGAGGTTACGTTTAGCAATTATGGGGTGCGCCTAGCAACCCCGTCTTTTATGGTTTTGCAAAGCCCAAATGTTTAAAATGTCAAGCTTTTATTTGAGAGTAATTTTTTTCATAACAACGAATATATGTGGCTTGCAGGTATTGATGAAGATTAGAACATGTTGTCATGTTCCCCAATTTCTTGGACAACAATTCTGTTAATTATAAATTGTTTGTAATTGGTTTTTCCTGTACAGAAAAAGGAATAGGAATTACCTAAAATTTGGGAATTATACATTTTTTGCTCTGAATTGGTTTTGTGAGAGTATATTATTTGAATTTCGGGTTTAGCTGCCATTTATAAAAAGGGAAGCAAGATTTGTAATATGTGCACCTTAACTCTACCCAATCTAATAAACTCTATCTATTTGTGCTCAATCATTTTGGTGAAATTCTATATGATATGCCTTCACTTTTGAAGTACTTTTTTTATAGCTATTAGTGTGTCTTGCAACAATTGCAGAACATCATTTGTTTCTTAATTTCTTGGACCGACATTTCAATTTAAAAAGTCGATGGAACATTACGTAGAAGAGAAAGACAAGATACAAGGACATGTGTAGCTTCACATTAAGTGTAAAGTACATTTCGCTTGGTTAAGAGCATCTTCAATACTAGAATGTGCACGGTGCATATGTCGTATGACAGATAATCACATAAATATTAGTAAATAAATTCTTTCTCTCCTTATTTGAATGATTTTATACAGTTTTGGTAAGTTTTTCTCCACAATGTCAAGGAGACCGTCTAAATGTTGACATTACAACAACGATGAATTGACGGAGAAGGTATGGGTAGATTATGAAATTTGGGTGAGAAAGTGAATCGGCCCATCCTAAAAGCTAAGTTTTGTAGCTTTTTAAATTTTGGGTAATTTTTAGATAAAAAGCTAAATAAAAGTCATGTAACCAAACACCATATTAGCTGATTCATTTGGTCAAAAGGTCAAATATTGTTGGTCAAATCAGCCAAATAATGGTTGATAGGCCGTTAACCAAACACTTTGTACGTACTTTTTTATTTGTATTGGAATTGTTAGCTTTACTATTATGAAACTCAAAAGTGTTTTGCGTCTCCAAAATGTTATTGCATGTATCACCCAATTACAAAAAGATTAAATGAGACTTGATTCAATCAAATAGTTACATAATAGAATGTCTTGTGTCCTAACAATGAAAGGCCATAAATTAGGTAATTAATTTGAAAAAATAGAATTCTGATTTTGCGTTTTATAGTGTAAGAAAAGAGATTAACCGAACTTGAAAATCATTAGTTAATTTGAAAGGTATTAGTTATAGTGTGATTCTTACATAAATTTAAAATTATCATCTCTTTGTTGTTAGCATTTGTTGATTTACATTAAAATTAAAAAGAATAATTTTGAGTAAGATTCTCTTATTATAAGCTTTTTAAACGTGAATCGAATTTTCTTCTCTTTCTCCCAGCATATCAATCCACTTCTTAGGATGTTTTTACTTGGACTGTAATTTGCTGGTCTGGTCTGGTCTGGTCTGATCTGATCTGGTCTGGTCTGGTCTGAACTGGTCTGGTCTGGTCTGGTAAGGTCTGGTTTCTTTGTATTTTTATAACTATCCAAGTCTGGTCTGGTCTGGTCTGAACTGGTCTGGTCTGGTCTGGTCTGGGACAAATTACAGTCCAAGTAAAAACATCCTTACACCTGCATAGTCATTTTTTATTAAGTTTTTTTTATCGTATTTTTTATTATTATTAAGTTATACAACAACTTCACAAGTGAATTAATTATTTGATAACGAGAAATAACCGTTGGAAGGGAGGTGTTTTTCGTATCATTCGATTCATTTCACACATGGATAATTGCAAGCTCCATCCTCAAAAACTGATCGTAATAGTAATGGTGATTGACCAAATTTATTTTATTTATAAAGATGTGCATACAAATTTAGTCTAACATACATATAATCAATGAACGACACTCCAATGAACTTAAATGTTTACCATAACATTTTGTATATCTTTTCAAACAATTTAATGATTATTAACTGCATCCCGTGCAACGCACGGTTGAAAATCTAGTATTTATGAAATTATATAGGGTTTAATGAATTAAATGGTACATATATAAGGCGCCAAGGCCCTAACTACTACAAGATGGCAAATTATACCGTGGGATCGGCCCACCATGCACATGGTGTGCCAATCCCAAAACGACGTAGGTTTATTAATTAAAAAAAAAAGTCGACTCTTGTTCCTACGCTCCTACGCATACATTGAAACCATGCGCCACCAGTCCACCACACCGCATGACACGAGCTCAATAAATCCTACCCGAATCGGCTGCCGTCGCTGGAGACATTCTTTGCACGTTTGGAGGTGCCACCGTCGCTGGAGACCTTCTTTGCCTGTTTGGAGGCAATCTGAACCTCATATCCGTCGAAGATCCACTCCAGCTTCGTACCTATCAAGGCTGTCATGCCCTTGTGTTTGCCAACATAGATGACTAACGACATACATACTCCTTTTTTGTTTGAATCCGTCATGTTACTCATGTACATATGCTCTGTATTTTAGTTGCTTTTTATTATTTTGGAACCTATTTCAAAATGAAAAAGCAACAGATTAATTGTGGTGAAAAAAATGAAAAAAGCAAATAATGAATGTAGAAGACGAAAAGTGAATGTTTTTTATGTCGTAAAAGTTAAACTCATTTAGAGGTTTTTTAAGAAATTAAGTTTGTTTGCTTTGATTCATGAAGTTAGATCTGCACTGGTGGAAAAAGAGCGTTATGCGGCACTTTTTTTGGACAAGTGCGGCGCTTTTAAGCGCCGCATATTCGACCGCCGCACAGGAATTTTTAGCGGCGCTTATTTGTATAAACGCGCCGCGGATGTTGCGGCGCTTATTTAAATTAAACGCCGCATATGGGGTTTTAAAATTACTATAAAATTCGGCCCCTCGTGCGGCGCTGTTTTTGGACAAGCGCCGCGTATAAATAAAAAATTTAAAAAAAACGTTTTCTATCTGCGGCGCCTATTGCATACAAGCGCCGCATATTTAGTACAATTTTTAAAATACGTGCGGCGCATAACATTAAAAAAGCGCCCCATCTGTATTTTTTTTTTAAATTACATTTAAATAATTAATAATTCCTAATTTTCCAAAACATACACATTCATCAAATCTGTATTGTTACTAGCATTCGAAAACACTATATGTTTACCAAAATACAAACATACATCAATTTTTTGTTACATCAAAGACAAATTGTAGCAACACTTCCAAATTAAACACGAAATGACAAAAGCTAAGTTTAAATTACAATCCAAATAAGAAATTGTAGCTAATCTACATATTTATAACTACATCTAAAAAGAACCTTGCCCATATATCACGAATATTGTTAAACTCTTCAAGGTATACGCTTCACTTCTTGGTGACCAATCCTGAAATAATTAAAAACATAAAAAATGAATAGTTTGTAAAGTACAATGCATATCATAGTCAAATTAAAATATATTGTTATACCTTTCCGATGTCAATGCTACCTTGATAAAAAATTGCTTCCCACATATAGCGCATGACATGATATCCACATTCTGTACTCCCAAGTTGTCTTGCACACTTTAATTATAATGCATATAAAAATAGTCAAAGAGGGTAAAAAAGAAATATGCTACTTGTTGAACAACATATTGAATTTATATACCTTGATATCATGCCACTTGATTGACTTTCCACGACCACAGTGTGTAGAAGCAACTCTATACGCTCTATAAGAATTGTAAAGATTTAAATATATTTATATAAGTTATAAGGTACAATACATATAACAATTATATACTAAAAAACTTTGTTTTCCAACTATGGAGGGTGGTCTTGGGATTAGATCCTTGACTGATTTAGAGAAGGCATTTACACTTAAGCTCTGGTGGAAAAGGAAGACTGGTGACTCTTTGTGGGTGCAGATTATGAGAACTAAATATGAGAGAAATGGCAACATGATACCTAAAATTACAGATTCTGCAATTTGGAGAAGGATTTGCTCTGTTAATGATCAAGGTATTGAACTTTGCTCCATGGATCCTTCTGGCAGACTACTCTGGAATGAAGAAGATGATGGTCAGTTCTCTTTTAAATCAGCATTTGAGGAGGTTAGGGAACTGGCCTTCAATTCCTCTAATTATGAGCAGATCTGGTCATCAAAGCTTGAACTTAAAATCAAGTTATTACAGTGGAAAATCACTAAGAGCATTCTGCCAACCCCTGATAACCTTAACAGATTTCAGATTGTGCTAAACCCTTCTAGATGTCCTATGTGCAAGAGACATAGCGATAGTATGAAGCATCTTTTTTATCAATGTGAGATTGCTAAGAGAGTTTGGCAATACTTTATGAGTATCTTCAGAATTTATCAGCCTATAGGTATGGATTACAGCCTTTCTCACTATTGGAAAACTGGTGTGAGCAAACCAATTTGGATGATATTGTCAAACAAAATATCCCTGGAATTATATGTTGGGTTATTTGGAGGACCTATGCGGACCAAATTTGGGGAAATGGGGGCTATATCCCTAGTATCGATAACATGATTATTCAGGTGAAACTATACTCTCAAAACTGGGTTACTAGCCTATCAACCTCCAAAATCAGATTTCTTGGTAATATTTCGCGGGAGGAAGGTTTAATTCCTTTAAATTATAAACTTCAAGGCTACAGACCTCAAGTCATTACTTGGCATAAGCCTACTCTAAACTGGAAATTGAATGTAGATGCTAGTTACCTAGATGGTATGGCCAACGGAGGTGCTGTCTTGCGCAATCGGAATGGCGAGCTGGAGGTGGCGATTAGCTTTCCTATCACTGCTCGATCTCCATTGGAAGCTGAGATTCATGCTCTTATCTTCGCTATGAACTGGGCGGTGGAGGCAGGTTACTCCCGTTTTCAAGTTGAAACCGATTCATCTCTGGCCTTAAACTATTTCGAGGGAAGAGAAGGAAGTCGATGGGCAACTGCGATTCAGGAAAGCCTACATATGTGTTTTAGGAAGGAGCTGCGGATGGGCTACATTAAACGTGAAGGTAATTGGGCCGCGCATCATCTGGCCCAAAACCGGACAAACACATTAATCATTATGTCTAATGTTGGTCAGCTTTCGATCATGGCTAAAAGGGCTTTTTGGATGGATTTTTTTGGCATTCCTTCGTTACGATTGTAATTTTTTTATTTCTTTCCTCGGGTTAGGTTTGGTCCCCCCGAATTTGTATTAATTTGTTCTGATTGGTAATAAAACATGGTAAATATCCCCCGACATTTACCCCACTGATTTTGGTGGTTGACCTTCTGGGGTGAAAAAAAACAATTATATACTAAAAAAACAATGTAATTTACGTACATTCCCAAGTCTTTTTGTATGGCAAAGCTAGATCCACTTAGAATAGAGTTAAAGATGAAGCCTTTATCAACTGTTGGACAAATCACAATCAAGATCCAATGAAACCTAATTTTAAAAAACATGTATCAAGTTAGTCAAAATAAATAATTTTAAATAACCAAAAATAGTAATTTTACATTACACTTACCCTTCATTATATGGCAAGAAGATCATTCTTTTCTCAAAATTGACATTTAAGGCATGTTTGAAATATGTCATTGTACCCTTCTTGTCAATTTGATAAGCTTTATGAGAGCACATTGATGGGCATAACAATGCAACATCATCACAACCAAGTTCATCCAGTTTATGCTTGATACAACTGTATTCAACAAAATAACACAATATATTATGTCTTCGTTAAGTTTAATTTTGGAAAAATTGAAAATAATAATCCCAACTATTGTTGTTCCGCTGAAAATAATCCCAACTATTGATTATTTTTGTATAATCCCAACTATATAGATTATCCGCCAATAATGGTCCATGACCATATATTACCTCTATAAAAAGTGAATTTTAAATAGAAATTAAGCGTAAAAATTAAAAGTTGAGATTATTTATAGGGATTACTTGTTATATCTCATCTCATCCACTTTAGAAACTACAATAATTTATTCATAGGGACCATTATTGGCGGAAGGTTCCTAAAGTTGGGATTATTCTGTAATAATCAAAAGTTGGGATTATTATGAGCGGACCGCCAATAGTTGGGATTATTACTATCAATTTTTCCTTTAATTTTTTATATGTAATATTTTTTAATATTTTTACGTATTAATACTTACAATAAAAAAGTCTGAACAATGCTAATATCCAGAGAATCGCCCTTAAGAAATTCAATCAGATCCTCACGATGAATAGTGATCCCGAATTCCTTTTCTTCTTGGTAGTGGAACAACTCAACGGGTAAAGGAACTGAAAACTTACAAAGTACGGGTTCAAACCACTCGAGCATCTCATGTAACTCCTGCAAATCTTCACTAAGTGATTCCAAAACAGTCTCACTTATCAACGGATATGTGCTAGGAGGAACCATAGATCGTGGAATCTCTCTTGCTACAAAAGGCTTCTCCTTAACTGCATCTTGCATGTTTGACTTTTTTTGTTTCTCCTAAAAATATCAATAAAAGAATACCAAAAAACTGTAGAATACTTGTATTTCATTGTGAAATTGTAAATATATCATCATCATTATTATTTCATTACCTCTCCTTCAAAGAGAACAAAATGACTCGGCCATTCTACAAATGATCCAACAGCGTCCGCCGCAACAAACATATCAGCATTGGGGTTTGGAAAGAAAAGAGGACATTGCTCGGAACCTGTATACACCATAGTTATATTCACTTTAATGGTATTCGCAGACATCGGAATATTATGAATCATGGCTCCTGGCGCGCTATTATAAGCCATTGCAAATTTGCAATCGCCATATATTCTACATCTTTTTGTCCATCTGGTGTCTGCTTCTCGATAGCAAGCTTACAAGATGTCCGGTCCTACAAACATTCACAGAGTGAGTAATTACATAACTAAACAATTTCACAAATAATGAATGCATCAATTAGTACATATGATTTGATATATTACTTACACTGAAATGTTTCTGTGGAACTGGTGCAGTGGAGTTCATTGTATCTGCATATACTTCCTGTGAAGGCATAGACTCAAATGTGGTAGAGTGAAAACCTCTCTGAATAAATGCTTTTTCTACATCTTTCATCAACTCCTCCTTCAAGTTCCTCAAATCAGCCTCACTTAAACCTCCAACCTTGCGTGAATTCCTTGGCTCCCGGTCAAACACTTGTTTAAAGCCCACACCACCTCCAACACCTCGTACACGCCCAGGATAATCGGGTTTCTCTAAAACTTCAGAAAGAATATCATGCCGCCCATGTGGCTTCCATGCCCCTGCAGAAATTTCTTCTTGAACTTTGTCCTATTAAACATTGTAAAATATATAAATTTTATACATCATTTTTATATGGAACAAATAAAAAAATACACTTAGCACACACTAATTTTTCTTTTTTCTTTAGCATGGCTTCTGTATTACTCGGGAAAGCTAGCTGCCCTTCTTTTGTCAGTCCAGATCTAGCACAAAACCAGCCCACATGTCTAGGGATGTTGTTGGTAGTTGTACTCGACGTTGTTGAATCAATTTCAGAAGTAGGGAGAAACTTATCTAGCAATCCCTGTTCTTTCCATTTCGGTATTGATAGAACATATCCTGATCGACCCATATGGTGAGGGTAAATGTTCTGTTGGGCAGCTTGCTTGTTTTTTTCGCTTAATGCCTATTCATAATTTTATAAATCATAAAATGTGAATCATAAAAGGTAGTCAAATACAATAAAATATGTTTCAATTATACCATAAATTCTGGAGTCATCGCCTTAGCACAGAACTCTTCCCAAGCATCTTTTGTCACAATACCTTTATACTTCTCAAATGCTTCACCGCTGTCATGTCCAACTGGTCGTGTCTTATTTAGAAAGCCCGTCCTCAACCTACTCCTGAAATCTCGATGAACCTTTCCTAACCTCTTAAAAATGACGTTGTACATCTTGTCATCAACAACATATGCATCCTACATTTATGATTCAAATTGCATTTATCAACAACAACAACAAAATATTAAAATTAATAAGTTTGCTTAAGTAACAAATTGCATTTATTTTACCTATGTACATGAATAAATATATTTACCTGAATCTCTTTCCACATTTGCATCTTTAATCTGTTTTCAACTGTCTTCCAACCCTGAATGTTAATATCTACGCGATCACGTACTGTCTTGCCTAAAAAAGTTTTAAATTCTTCAGCCCATTCGCCAATTGCCTGACCATTCTCAGCAAAATCAACGATTTTCCTCCCGTCGCTAGCCCTTCGCCCGGGGCCGATATCACCTCCATGAGCTTCCTCCTGGTGGCTCGAATCATCCCCGTCTGAATCACTCATATCCTGCAACATAATGAAAAAAATTAGTACATATTTTTTTTGTAGATATTTACAAAAAATAAAATCAAACATGCGTATTTAAGACAACTTACAATTGTAGTCATGTATCATGCTATTACTTTGACTTTTCAAAGTGAATTTCTATGCCGTCGTTATGATTTCCCACAAACGGAAGATCATCTTCATTGTAATCGTATGTCACATTTCTTTCATGCATGCCTACAGATAACGATGGCATATCTTCAACATAATCATCTTCAGTACCTTCAAAATCATCGACATTTAACTTTCTCTTGCCAGGTAAAACGACACACCATCGCTTATTTGAAGGATCCCTTATATAAAATACTTGTTTTGCTTGTGATGCAAGTATGAATGGATCGTCACGATATCCAGGTCGGGTAAAATCCACTAATGTGACTCCTGTTTGATCATGTTGAACACCTCTTCGGATATCGGCCCATTGACATTTGAAGAGTGAAAAAGTTCTGTTCGTGTGGTTCAACTCCCATATATGTCCTCGATCTTGCCATAGTAACACATCTTAGCATAAAGCGGATTTTGGTCACTTGAACTTGCATATTCTGCCAAAGCTGCTACCACCGATACCCCGCTATTCTGTAATACAGATTTGGCATCATGTCGGGTAGTATAAAAGGTGTAGCCATTGATATCATATGCTTCATACGAATCAATTGCGCGTTTAGGACCATAAGCCAACCACTTAATGTCTTCGTCAACCTCATCACAAGCATCATTTTTGTCGTTGAAAATGAAGTGTTTGAACCAACTTGAAAAAGTACGGTTGTGCTCTTTAGTCAACCATACTTCACTTTTCAAAGGAAATTGAGTTCTCAAAGCATCCATGTGTTTTTGCACAAAAGGAGAAACAATTTCTAAATGATGCAAAACAAGAAGATGAGCCTTTTCCACTAACTCATGGTCCACATTCTTTAGTACTTTCTTTCCAAGAATACCTTTGCCTTCAATTCTGTCATCATGCCTTGACTTTGGAACACCCAATGGGTCAACATTCATCAAATAGGGTGTACAAAACTCAATGACTTCTTCGTCAACAACACCCTTGATGATACTACCTTCAGGATGACACCGGTTTTTCACCTTTGATTTCAAATATCCCATGTCTCTCCATTCCGTACATGTATCTCAAGAATACCGGACCACACAGCTTCACTTCTCTAACCAAATGCACAACAAGATGCACCATAATGTCAAATAATGAAGGCGGAAAATACATTTCAAGCTGACACAAAGTAACAACCACTTCAGATTGTAGTGCATCAAGTTTGTCGGGATGAATTACTTTTTGGCATATGACATTGAAAAAGAAACTCAACCTCATTATTGCATGTCTAACATGATCTGGTAAAAGTCCCCGTAAAGCAACTGGCAACAAATGTTGCATCAAAACATGATAATCGTGAGACTTCAAACCAACCAATTTCAAATCCTTTAATGATACAAGATTTTTAATGTTCGAGGAATACCCAGAAGGCACCTTTATGCCATATAAGCATTCACAGAAAGCCCGTTTCTCAGTCTTTGACAGTGTATAACTCCCGGGTGGAAGATAAACCCCATTTTGTCATGGTTGTGGAGCCAATTCTTTTCGAATATGGAGATGTTCAACCATGTCTTTCCGGATATTGATCCCATCCTTTGTCTTTCCGGGAACATTCATAATAGTCGAAATTATGCTGTCACACACATTTTTTTCGATGTGCATAAGATCGAGACAATGTCTCACAGATAAGTCTTTCCAATAAGGAAGTTCCCAGAAAATAGATCTCTTCTTCCACAAACTTTGCTTCTTTCTCTTATAAGGCTTGCCAAAGACTGTCCAAATCTTTAACCTTATCATATACCTCACGACCAGATAATAGATGACGAGGAACACCATGCTCAGTTTTTCCGTTAAAAGCCTTTTTCAGTGCACAATAACGATGTGCACGTGGAAGGAACCTTCTATGATTCAAGTATACATTCTTCTTGCAATTGGGTAATCGCAAGTCAACCGTGTCCTCTTCACAAATGGGGCATGCTTTTTCACCTTTTACTGTATACCCAGAAGATTCCCATATGCTGGAAAATCATTGATGGTGCAGTACAACATAGCACGCAAATTAAAAGTCATTTTTGTGTGCATGTCATATGTTGTAACACCTTCATTCCACAAAAGTTTGAGGGGTTAATTACTTACCGTTAGAGTTAATGGCAAATTTGAACGGAAGGGCTCGATTGATATAGATTAAATAGATTAAGGACTAAAATGATATATTTTATAGTTCGAGGATCAAAATGATACGGTGATGATAGTTCAAGGACCATTCATGCATTTTATTCAAATAATGTGATTCTCAACTTACTATTTTGAATTAGTTTCGTTTTTAGAATGGTTTTCTTTGAAAAAACATGAAATTGCTATGTTTTGATTAAAAGATTGAAGATTTTTTTATGCTCTGTTCCAGACCTGGACCATATCTTCTTAGATTGAGTAATAAACTAGAAAAACATCTATTTTGACACTCGTGGCTGTGGGCTCGTGGGAGAGTTGTTTGCAACTGCTTTTGCTTAAAAAAAGTACATTTGTTAGTGATTTTGGAAAAATTGATTAGTAGTGAAAGTGGATAGAGTTTGAGCAAAAAGTGATTTTGAACATATAGCCCTTGACAGGTTTCCCCCTACGCCTACACAGCCCTCACACAGACCTAACCAGACTTAGATAGGTATCTATCTATTCATTTATGCCCACATCCAACCAAACAAATAACTAAGCAAATGAACATATAGCCATAATCAGTGGTTACCTAGCAGGTTCCTTCGCCCGAACAGATCTGCTGCAGCTTTTGGTTTTGGAAGGCCTGGTTGCATAAGAACGCAGATGTTAGTCACCTTTACAAATTCACCCAGATAAATAAATGAAATTGTACCTGATCTGTGCCTTGTAGATTGTTCGTGATCTTAACTTGTAGGCCTGTGAAGTCATCACCATTTCTTGTTTGCTCACAAAAAACTTTATTCTATGCTATTTCCTCTCTGCTAGTATTAGGCGGATCCCAGAGACACCAGTTAGTAGAATAGATGCTTTTCTAGTTTATTATTCGATGCAATAAGATATGGTCGGAGGTCTGGAACATAGCATTTTCTATAAAAAAAAAACTATTCCATCTTTTAATCTAAAACAGAGCATACATGGGGTGAGCAATTTCATGTTCTTCAAAGAAAACCATTTGAAAACGAAACCAATTCAAAAAAGTAAGTTGAAAATCACATTGCATATATAGGCTGTTTAACACTATCAAAACTCTATTAACTACCCATTAGTCTACCCAAACAATCGGAATCAATAATTCTGATAAGCATCTTCAGGGAAAGAGCCACAAATCAAGGGTTCGTCAGGAATTGTAGAATTAACTCAATTATTAAGGTTCGGTATCGAATTCAACATGATATGCAGTAAACCCAAGCGTACTAAAAAAGATCCTCTATAGAATTTAACAGAAAGCCTGGAGAGATTTCAGATCAGGAAAAAGATCGAATCGCCAGCAAGAAACACCTACGATTTCAGGCTTCGTGGAAGATTGAACCTTCTTCCCCGCGAGGTAATCGTACTTTGGGCGTGTCGCTTATGGGAGAACGTATTGCCGCGCCGCCTAGTAAAACTGAATCAACCGTTTTTGCCGTGACTTTCAAATGCTTATCAAAAAATCGAATTATAGAGTATGGTTAAAGCATTTTTAATAGGGAAAATGGAAACTAATAATCCAACCTTTTAGAGGTCTTCTTTCAATAATCCCACCTTTTGATTATTCATGGATAATCCAACCTTTGCACTTCATCTTCATTCATTGGTCCCTGATCGGTTAATAACCTATTATTCCAAGTTATTTTCTTATCTTTGCAAAATATTAACTTTGTGAAAAATGGGATTTGTGGTATAATGATTTGCAAAGATAAGAAAATAGTTTGGAATAGCAGGTCATCAATCGATCAGGGACCAGTGAATAAAGATGAGGTGCAAAGGTTGGATTATTCATGAATAACCAAAAGGTTGGATTATTCATGAATAACCAAAAGGTTGGATTATTGTAAGAAGACCGCTAAAAGGTTGGATTATTAGTTTCAATTTTCCCTTTTTAATATGGCTATTAGCCCTAATTCCCTAAATAGAAGTATTCTAACTACAATATACATATGATAAAAAAAATAGAAATTATTTCAAATAGGACTAAAACTATGGCAAAAACTCAAAATAAGACTTGCTATGTTTTTTATTCCAAAATAGGACCATAGTGGTCCTATTGGAAACATACTCATTTCTTCCTTCCATTCTTACCCCTCCTTTAAATATTAGTAAAAGATAGCTAAAAGTCATAATTAAATGTTTAATTCATAATAAATTCGAAAAACATTCAATAAGAATATTTTTACCTCAAATAGGACTAAATTATTCCTGAAATTCCCAAATAGGACTATCTATATTTTTATTCCCCAAATAGGACTAAATTACCTATTTACCCCCTATTTCCTTCCTCTATAATCCCCTCCTGCGCACACCACGTTCCAACTTCCCTGCGCAAACCAATCGACCCATCTCCCCGCGCAAACCAATCGACCCATCTCCCCCCTACACCCTCATCTTCTCTCCTTCCCCTAATCCACTTCACCATGAACACCCAGTAGTGAAGTCCACCTCCGCCCTCCGCCCTCACCTGCCCATCTTCTCTCCTTCCCCATGGCAGCCGCCATCGCGAAGTCCGCCACCGCCGTCATCGCAAAACCATCATCGCCGCTATCGGAGATGGTATTCTTCTTCCCCATGCTCTGTTTCTTCTTTGAATTTTACAGAATGCCAAGTTAAACTCTAAAAATGCCATCAAAATGGCATTCTTTGTCTTAAAAAATTGCATTTTCCTCTGCAAATGCCATTAATGTGGCATTCTGGTAAAAACCTTAGCATTCACTCTGGCAACGGTCAGATATGGAACAGAGGAGGTCAAATTTGCAACAATAGATGCCGGATATGGTGCGAAGGTGCCTGGATCTGCAGGGACAGCGGCCGACGGCCGATGGAGGCTACTGTTGTCCAGATCTCCGGCGACTCAAGCTGGATCTGCATCGGCGGCATCCAGATCTACAATGGCGGCTAATGTTTTAGTGACAGTGATGTCCGGCAACCGGCGGCGACCGGCGGCGAGTGGCGGTGACCGGCGGCGACCGACGAGAGGCGGTGTCCTGTGTTCTAGTCGCAGCAGTATCTTCCAAGCATATATCAAGGACATTTTTGTCCATCTACAGATTATAACTCCTATTTAAGAAATTTTTAGACTTTAGTCCGATTTTGACAATTAAAGATTGATTTAGTCCTATTTAGGTAAATACCTCATTCAATAATTCGTAGTAAAATAATAAAAAAATTAATAAAATTTTTATAAAATAAAAAATAAGAATTTTTTTTTTAATTTTTTTTTAAAATTAATAAAAAATAGTAAAACTCCATAAAAAAATTAAAAAAAAATATGGATACCTTTCCCACCGCCTGTACTACCTCCCTGAACCACCACCTCCAATCGGTGTAATAAATGCCACTTTTTTTTTAAATTCCACCAAAATGGCATATTTCTCTATGAGAATGCCAACATTTTCATTCTGCCAACTTGAATCATTTTGACTTTTGCCAAAAATATGGCATTCATAATTTTTTTGGCATTTTTTTACCCCGGTGACAGGAGGTGGTGGTACCGCCTTCCTGCACCACCACCTCCGACCGTTAAAAAAAATGCCATATTTCCTACAAACTTCCATTTTTTCGGAAAATGCTAAAAATATGGCATATTTCTCTTTGACAATGCCAACATTTTTTTCTTCCATCTTAAATCATTCTGAATTATGCCAAAATTATGGAATTCATAATAAATTTGGCATTTTTTCCCCAAATGACTAGAGGTGGTGGTTCTGGGGCGGCAGAGGCGGCGGTGACAATTTTTTTTTTTTTTTTTTTTTTTTTTTTTTTTATTTTTTTTTTATTTTTAATTTTTTTTAAAAAAAAAATTATTATTATTCAAAATATTTTTATTAATTTTTTGGTATATTTTATGAATTTTTATTATTTTTTATTATTTTATTATGAATTAAAACATTCTAATAGGTATAAGGGTATATTTGTCCAAGACACACATAATTAGTCCTATGGAAACATAGTTTATTTTTTGGTCCTATTTGTGCAAAGTAAATGACTTTTAGTCCTATTTTGATAATTAACTCTAAAAAAACTACAATATAAATATAATTGTTTTAGTATTTTCAATATACGACCAATCTATGTTTCATTTTCCTATTTTATTCCTTCTTTTATTCCAAGTAGTATTTTATTAATAACGGAATTATAATTTTATTTATGATAAAAAAAATAAAAACAATAAAAACATTTATAAAGATATATAAAGAAGTTATATTAAAAACGTAGTAACATAAAATAAACGAAAAATAAAATAAAGATTGAGAAGATTTCAATAAATACATAAAAATAGTACTACATATATGTCCCTCAAAATTGTACCATTTTGATCACTACATGAAATAATAAAGTAAAAAGTGTGTGGTTGAATTTTTTTAGTATGAGATTAGAGATATAATATGAACTATGAATTGATTAACTAAAAGGAGAAATGACAAAGTTTTTTGTACAATAAAAAAGGAAAAATGACAAAGTTTTAAAGGATATATGGAGTATATGTAAACCTTTGCGTCCGCATCTTCCACCTCTAACACCGCCACCTAAAATTTCTATGAAAATATCATTACTCTTTCAAAATACTAAACATTGTTTTCAAGACTGTCATCAAGCTGTCATTTTTTGCAGGTTGGCGTTTTTTCGATAATTGTAGGTGGCGCCGTGGCGGAGTAAGTAGGTGGCGTTGTTGCAAGGTAGTTAAGGTGTGTATATTTTTTATTTGTTTATACACGGTTTATTTTGTTTAAGGTTTATTATTATAAAACAATCCGATTAAAGCAAGTGTAGGGGCAGGATAGGAAGTGTTAGTACTAATTTGAGAATTTGAACTTTATGTTCATGTTCTTATAATGTAACTTTTATTTACTCCTAATTGAGGAATTATCCCTTTTTAATACTCCCCCGCCCCAAAAAAAAACTTTTCACTTGCTCTTTTAAGATGTTCTAAAAAATAATTATTCTCATATTTCTCTTAGCTTTGAAAATTTTTACTCAACTACAACCACACATTTTCACTTTATTCTCATGTTTTTTAAATTTTGATGCAGGTCAAACTATGAATAATTTAATGGACGGAAGGAGCCATAACCAGTATACCGATTAGTGACGGATGAATCAATCAAAGTTAATTAATGGTGGTAATTTGAAACAAATGGCAACCAAAGTTAGTGCTTCGTGTGATTTTTTGTGTGGAAGAAGGGGGCTTAAATTGATATCACAGCATTAGCATTCAGATATGGAGTTAAACGACAAAAGGACCATAGACAACCGTCAGCCCTCGAACGAGACTTAGAGTAAATCACCTTCCAAAAAGCAATATAACTCGCTTGTCCTATAATGGGCATAAATGAGCCAAAGACGGTTAAAGCAGACCCCCCATCACCCAATCCTAATGCAAGAATCTTACAATAATAAAAGTAATCAACAGAAAAATAAACAGTTTGATCATTAAAAATAAATCGCCAGCAAACAGTAAAATTAAAAAGATGCGCCAAAACCCTAGATTCTCCTGCACTTCATGGCGGCAATTCAGGAGGGAACGATCCAACAGTACTGTAGGTTCTTCCTCATCTTGACTCTTCTTCATCATGTTCTCCACCAAGTCTCTTTTGTCGCCACCTAACATAGATGACCTCGAATATAGATCTGTTCCAGCCTCTAGACCCACACTTCGTCCATGATCTTTGACCACCGAAGACCAAACATCCATCTTCCGTCCCTGTACAACCTTCACCCGCCTGAGACCAAACATCTCGTTCCCTCCGCTTAATCTCGTCATAGCAAAAGAAGAAAAATTGTTGCACAATTGATGGCGGAAGAACAAACCATGTACGCCTAAGCCCGCCTACGGCGGCCGCTCCTCGTAAAAACGATAGCGGAGGAAAAAACTCTAGCGGTGAAATCTCACCCTAGAGAGAGAAAGAGCTAAAACAAACGATCTGGAGACTAGCCGAGTGCTTCGTGTGATTAAAAAAAATACTCCCTCCATCCCTAATAACTTTGCCAAGTTTGACCGACATGAAGATTAATAAAGTAAAAACTGTATGCTTGAGGTTTGTGCAGATGAGAGAGAATTATCTGGAACTACAAATTGTTTACTTAAAAGGGAAAGTGACAAAGCTAATGAGACATCCAAAAAAGGAAAGTTGACAAAGTTATAAAGAAGGGAGAAAGTACCAATTATAATTAGTCATGAATCGTCTTTTACATAACAATCCTGTTTTAGATGTAGTGGGCTAGACTTGAGACGCTGTTTTATATGCAGTGGGCTGGAGTAGGGACACTGTTTTAGATGCAGTGGGCTGCTGCTACTTCGTGACGTCATGACATGAATGCTAAGCTCACTGGTACGGGCCTTGACTGGCTTTTATTTGGGCTCGCATAAATCGCTTGAGGCTTACTTCTCGACATACTATGGATGTTTTTTAAGATGAT